CACTGATATCTTTTAATAGGCAGTTATAACTGATTTCAAGGAGGCAGTTCATGAAGTAATTAAAAGGACCAGTTTTGGAAAAGGACCAATTTTGCAGTCAGACTCCGTGGGTTCAAATCCCAGTGTTGCCACTTGTTACTTGGTAACTTTGGACACATTGATGAATTTGCCTAATTTTCCCCATCAGAAAAATATGGATATTAGTAGTTCTTAGTCTTTGTTTTTTTGTTTTTTTTTTCCTGAGACGGAGTCTTGCTCTGTTGCCCAAGCTGAAACGCAGTGGCACGGTCTCGGCTCATTGCAACCTCTGCCTTCTGGGACTTCTGCCTTCAAGTGATTCTCCTGCCTCAGCCTACCGAGTAGCTGGGATTACAGGTGCCTGCCGCCACACACCCGGCTAGTTTTTGAATTTTTAGTAGAGACGGTGTTTCACCATGTTGGCCAGGCTGGTCTTAAACTCCCGACCTCGTGATCTGCCCACCTCGGCCTCCCAAAGTGCTGGGATTACAGGCGTAAGCCACCACGCCCGGCCGGTAGTACCTAGTCTTAAGTTCTTCTGAGCATTAGATATTAGTAAAATGCCTGGAACATGGTGAGTATTCAGTAAATATTAGCTATTATCCTGATACATTAAAGTATTCAAAATAATTAGTGATACCATAATGCCCCATACAGATTTGCTTCTTGACACTATATTGTGTCGTCATCTCTTTGTGTCAGTCCTTTCTCTTATCCTTCTGGATTGTGGGTTTCTTAAAAGGTGGGGGCTGGACCTTAACCATTTTTTTCTTTCTTTTTTTTTTTTGAGACAAGGGTTCACTCTGTCACCCAGGCTGGCGTGCAGTGGCGTGATCATGGCTCACTGCAGCCTTGATTGCCCAGGGCTTAAGCAATCCTCCCAGCTCAGCCTTCCAGTTAGCTGGGACTGCAGGCCCGTGCTACCAAGCCTGGCTAATTTTTGGTATTTTTGTGTAGAGATGGGATCTCACTTTGATGCCCAGGCTCCCAACCATTTTTGTACGCACACCAATTAGCAGTCCTGGTAGGGAGTGATTACTCCCTTTTTCGAGTAAATTCACTGGGATTTGAATAATGACTCTTGTTCTCTTTTCACACAGCCTGTTTTGCCTAGAAAAGAATGCTGGGATCTGCAGTTCAGGCTCGTATCTCTCTCAGATTCTGTTGTATTTTACATAGCATGGGTACTGGTGACAGTATTCTGGGAGTGGGCACTCAGTCTTACTGAGAAAGGACCCGTTTCTGCATATTCCTTTTAACCACACTTGGTTTTCTACAGGTCACCACAAATGGCATCATTGCTACGAGTGAACCCCCGGCCAAAGAATCCCATCCCGGGCTCTTCCCACCAACATTCGGTGCAATAGGCCCTTTCCTGGCAGACTTGGACACGACGGATGGCCTGGGGAAGGTTTATTATCGAGAAGACTTATCCCCCTCTATCACTCAGCGGGCAGCAGAGTGTGTCCACAGAGGGTTCCCAGAGATCTCTTTCCAACCTAGTAGTGCGGTGGTTGTCACTTGGGAATCCGTGGCCCCCTACCAAGGGCCCAGCAGGGAGCCGGACCAGGAAGGCAAGGTAAGCACTCCTCCAGGTCCAAATGCAGGTGAGCAGACACACTGGCGCCATACACTTTGGTTTCACGGTTTGTGCTGCTTGGACATACATTATACACCACTGATAAAGACAGGAAATCCAAAGCGAAATCTAGTAGGCTGGTTCCTGCAGGTCCTAAACCTCCAAAAGCTTATCTGCAAGGTTGTATAACTATGTTTCAATGACAAGTAGACATAAAGAAAGCCAGCTCCTGGTAAGAC